GGGGGGGGGGGGGGCCGTGGCCACTGTATTGCTCTGTTTCCATTACAATCCCAACATGAATAAACACTCCAAACATCTTTATATTAACAAAAAAGTGATTATGTCATTTGCGTAAGAGGACGGAGAATAATTAGATTAATATATGAATCATCCAATAATTATGCATGTTTGGTCACTTTTTGCAATCGGTCCCATCTTGAAAGTTGACATAACCGTCATCATAATCATCATCATGATCGTAATAATAATCAAAATCATCAACATTATGATCAACATCTTGGTCATCATCATAATCATAACCATGGACATTATGATCAGCGCCATTGTCATGATTATTATTATCGTTACCAATCATTATCCTTGCTATCAATCAACTTCATCAATCTTTATCGTGATAGCAGCAATCATCATCAAATTAACGTCATTCCCCCATTTTCTATGAGTATTTAAAGTTCTACTACTGTTATTTAGCATTTAATATATTGGTCGTTGAGTATATGTTTTATTTAGGGTTAGGTTTTGTATCAATACGAGTATCGGTCAAATTGAGTTTTATGTGGTTCTCGTTTAACCTAGCTTCTTGATTAAGTGGATTGATTCATTCAATCATTTGGTCATTTTTTGATTACACGTTGTGATATTACTACTTCGCAACTTTTCAATGAGTTGTGTACAAAAATTTGAAATCGGTCTTTTTATGGCATTAGGTAACTGCCTGAACAAGGATGCTCCTAATTTGTTTATCTTTCAATTTATGATCCTTAAAAAGTCTCAATTTTCCTGATCGGAAGTTTGGTTAATAAAACTGAGTTCAAAATTTGGAATTCATATTTTTATTGCGTTTGTTGTTAGAATTAGTTCTGCGCCTTTTGTTCCAAAGGGAACAACCAAAAAGCTCTGTGGTTATTTCAAAGTACGGGTAAATTTACTGCCTCCTTAACCAATCTAAATTTAGCAGTTATTGCAAAACATTTATGTGTAGTGTTTCTAATATCCCCCGCCGCCCCCCAACTTTTGAACTTTTGTTGGAGCCTGTGCATTTTCTGTGACCTCCTCCTTGGTGGCGATGGTCTGCAACGCAGGCTAGTTTTTCCTTGAAAGATATACAGGAACAAAGCAATACGACGACGAGAACCAGAGAGAGCACTCTGATGAAGCCCTGTATGCCGGGGCGAAATATTAGTATATTTCTTAAATTTATTTTATTTTGAAAATTTTATCTCGTGACATTGGATTCTCGTCGTTGTATTGCTTTGTTCCTGTATATCTTTTATAACAACACTCATTGCAAGATTCACAGAATCCGGCGGACAGCCTATCCTGCGGTTCTTCCTTCTTACACAAAGTGTTTCCTTGCTAGTATTTTAAATGTAAAACATTGACCAATCCCTTTTGGAAAGTTCATTGCCCTTGGTGATGCCTTTTCTTGCACTTGTATTGCAGTACTGGATATCAGTTTTTGATTTCCACAATCAAGTCTTCTTGTGAAGAGCTGTATGCCTCTGCAGTCAGCGAGGAGCCAAAATCAGAAGCCAAATTATCTCCTTGTGAAGACAAAAGCTTTTTCAAGGAAGAAGAAAAGTCAGGTCCTGCTACAGCACAACAGACCTCCGAACAGCTAAAAGATGGCGATGCAAATAGCAGCCATCCAGGGACAGATGAACAGCCTTCAGAGTGTATCATATGTTGAACTTCTCTCTGCATGTGGCTATTATATCTTATTTAATTATAGATTTGGTTTATTTTAGATTTCCCGAAAAGCTAGGGAAAACAGGGTCGATTTTGTGAATAGATCTAAATATATATCTGCAATTTATTATAACAACGATAGTTTTCATGTTATTTTTTGGACCTTCTTCTCTTCAGGTAACTAAGGTCATTTTATAGAAAAGTTTGTTGCGCAACCGACATGCGGTAGCTAGCTTTTTACGGGAGGAGAAATGGCCTGTATTGTATTCTATGGCTGGTTGTGGTTGCAAAGCATTGTGGTTGCGCAAGAGCCTTTTAATAGCAAACACAATGAAATGGAGCCTTGTCAGTAGTCAGTAATTGTAGTAGGTTAACCTGATACTTGGATCAGTTCGCATGGAGGATTTTAGTATATTTGAAGTGAGGCGATGCTTGTCATGCTCGACAAATTTTTAAACTTGCGAATAATGAGGGTAGATCGGATAGAAGCAGGAGGAGCTGAAAAAGTAACTTCAGTGATTTTTTTTTAGAAACAAGGCCAGGATTTCAATTTCTGTTGAGTTTTTCAGCTGGTATTCTGAATATATTAAGTAGAAACATTTTCAGACGTATTGCATTTGCTTATATTAAAGGCATTTGACACAGGTAAAAGTGGCTTACAGCCACTCGACCACGAGCGGTTGACCAATTAAATTGCACACAGAGAAAAACACGTGAACAGTTTCCGCCTTTTTGCAAATCGGTGAAATCCTAGAGCAGTGCGCAGTGGTTTCACGTGAGCGGTTTTCAATACCTTTCTTGTGCGCGTGCTCTGATCAATTTGGCCTAAGTTATTTTTGGATTTGCTGTACTTGTGCATGTCAAATGCCTTTAAGGTAGTCCAACTATGTTATTATCTGGAATTACTGCCCGGGGGTTGTGTAAAAGGGTCGAATTTGTAAGAGAATATATTTTTGGGGGAGGAGTAATATTTTGCAACGCACTCTTTGTGATGTAATTCTTTAATTTTGATTAAGTTTGCGTAACAAAAAGCTAGTCATGGCTTTTCCCTACTGGTGAAATGGGCATTCCTTTTTGGTAAAAGGGGCTTTGTGACTCATTCTTTTTTCCGCAATCACACTGTTCCGTTTTCAAATGAATACGCTATGAATATGATGAATATGCGTGAAAAAATGATTACCCTGGACATGCGAGTTACACTGCTAAAGGTTTTTCTTTGTACTTTGGGTTCAAATAAAATTGATTGCAGTCGAGGAAGGTGGTTCAAATTTGCAAACAAAGGGCACCAAGCCACCTTTTTCATTGTCAAACGCAATGTAGTGTGTTGGAATTACGATTTTATCCGGACAAAAATAATAAAAAGCTGTAATTTGGCACATAGGTTCCATACGATACTGGGAATAGCCAGAAAAAAGCCCCATCAATTGGACATTGGGGAATTCCTTATTTGGGCAAATCCCATATAGCGCACTGATCAGCAGGGGTTCAAATTTTGATGTCGCTAAAACCACATTATATTTTGAAAGACAGTTTCATGCTGAACGACTTTTATTCAAAATACACGCCCTTACAATGTGGAAATAAGTACTTTCTGGTCAAAAATAGCAGATAGGGGGCAACTGGGCAATAGAATGTATACAGTAGTGGCGCCAGGGGAGGGCTAGGGCGCTACAGTCCCTCCATCGGAAGCATCTAGCCCCCCTATCGGAAGAAAGTTTTAGGTTATTGTCGGAGCAAATTTGACAAAAAACGTACGAAAATTGCATATTATTGTTAATTTAGCCCCCCCCCCTGTTGGAAGCTAAAACCCCTCTGTCGGAAGATTTCTGGCGCCACCTCTGAATGTATATAAGTTTATTTGTGAACAACTTGTATATTAACAAGATCAAAACATGCGATGATGAAATCCTATCCAACAAGGAGTATGTTAAGAATCCCGCTAAACATTTTGAAATTTCTGCGATCCGTGTATTATTTTGAGAAAATCTGCGTCAGGCAAGTGTGTAGAATTCCCTCGTTCCGTTGAGAAATTGCCAGATTTCTGCAATCTACGACAAATTTTCCTAAAACTCTGTTCTTCCGCAAGCACTGATGACATCTTCATTTGGAGAAAAAAGGCAAGGATCTACCCTGTGCCTTGCAGACAAATATTCTTGCTGGTGATAACTGCGGGTACGAAGGTCTTTTAATGCAAAACACGGGAAAAGGTGAACCACGTTGAAGTATATTATTTGTCTCGGGATTTTCCAATTTCCAAGTCCGGGTTTTCCGTTTTTTATAACTATTTTCCGGGTTTTGGGTCCTAGGTACTCTCAAAACAACCTTTTTTTATGTGCGCACTTCTCAATTGAAAAGTTTGCAATTTTTGGGATTATTCGGAAGCCAACTCTTTTTCTGGTGAAGAAGGGCATAAAGGGAATATTACTGGCCCAGCATCAAGCTGTAGTTTTGTGCAGCCACTTTGAATTTGCACTGAATTTGGCAGTGTTTTTTACGTCTTAGTAACAAAAATTACTAAGATGGAGGATGTCAATGAAAAAGTTGAAAAACTGTCAGAATTGAAATCTTCATCTTTGAATTAGTTTGTAATGAAAAAATCATGTTGTTTGGACCGTTCGGTCGCGAGGTACTTTGTTTTGAATATTTAGATATTTCTCTAGATTTCAGCGGAATTTGCTGCTGCAGTGAAAAAATTTCACTAGAGTCAGCCCGGGCTGAGTGGGCCCGGGTTGCGTCAGCCCGGGCTGAGTGGGCCCGGATTGCGTCAGCCCGGGCTGAGTGGGCCCGGGTTGAGTCAGCCCGGTCAAAATGCGCTCGGGCTGAGTCAGCCCAGGCTGAGTGGGCCCGGTTTAAGTCAGCCCGGGCTGAGTGGGTATTATCAAACTTTATCTTATTCACACACTTAATGATTTTGCATCGATAGAATTTGCGATATAAAATGAAAATATTACGCAAGAGGATCAGCCATTATTTCTGTGCGCTTTTCAATATTCACTCGTCCCACTTTGTTTCTGCCCTATCGCCACTAAATTTGCATATTCTAAGGGTACATATGTTAAATAAAAGTTATTCAGCATGAAATTATCTTTCAAAAGATGTACATACTATGTGTTTTTAGCAATATTAGAATTTTGAACCGATCAATTACTGATCAGTTACTGATCAGTGCGCCATTCTGGTATTTGCCCAAATAAGGATTTCCCAATGTCCAATTGATGGGGCTTTTTTCTGAGCATTTCCAACTTAGTATAGAACATCTGTGCCAAATTACAGCTTTATATTATTTTTGTCCGGGTTAGATCGTTTTTATATCTAATTCCACTACACTAATAGTTAGCTTCCACTTAGCAGAGTTTTCTGGCCTTTTCTGCCAACCTCGTAACAATGTTGTTCAATTTGAAACCAACTCTCTTTCGGTCTGGATCCACCCCTGCGCCACGTCTTTGCCTAAGCAACACCGTTAACAAGAACTGAAAGAATACTAAAAAGGCGACCATGAAGTTGTTTATTTAAAGTCAGGTACTTTTCCAGTATGACCTAGCCATAAAAAAACGAGCTATGTCAAAAATTATATGTACTTCAAAATTAGGAACACTTTTTAGTCAAGTTGCCAATTGTTACATGGGAGGCGATGTCAATTAAATATTTTTCAGCGTTTTCATTATCCAGCTTTCTCCGTTTTGAAAGATGCTGTAGTCCACAAATCTGGCGGTGGGGTTGAGAAGAGGCCGCTGCCTAGAACTACTCCCATCCCAAATCCCAAGTGTGCGGAAATTGAAAGATACATGGGGACAAAAGGAGACATTGAAGAAATACAGTGCCGAGGGACCATTTCTCGGTACCCCCAGAGTACCGAAAAACTCATTTTGAGGATGTTTATCGCATATTCAGGTTTGCCCGCGTCTATTTTAATTCGAAAGTAATCTGAACTCGAAGCGACATAACAGCGGCCGTTAAAAGTCACTATTTTACGAGTTGCTGCACTTGGAATCGAGCCTATCAGGATTCATTTCTCAAATGCTGTTTTGTATATGTGCAGCGAAATGCCGGCAAAACATTGCAAACATAATAAAGATGTAAGAGAGAATTTACGACTATTTGTTCACTTGTTATTTCCTAGAAAAGAACAAAACCTGCTTAATTGTTTTGATTGAAGGCAATGACAGACTTATTAGGTCCACGGGTCTCATCTAGGCCTAGCCTAGTTTGAAGGTAGGAAGGGAATCAATTTCTTAACATGCCGAAGCTGTTAACAATTTAATTTTCTCGAGAAAATTTAATTCAGATCATAATCGTAATTGAGGGCAAATTCTATGTTAAAGTTGTACATTAACTTTCGTGCGTGTACAGGGAGGGTTTTCAAAGGCAAGTGTAATAGGACTGGACGCTAGTCTACATCATTATGTTAATTTATGTTGCTTATGTATAGTTTGTATTGTTGTAATTATGTTCAAGCAATTGGGGGGGGGGGGGGGGTTAAATGACGATTAAATTTCGTTGCCACATCCTAGGTGCCTAAAAAGCAAATGCCCATTTTTGCAATTCCATTTTCAACTACTAGATGAAGAATGACAGAAGAATTTTTGGGGTTGTCTTGTCCCCCGCACCCTCTCCGGTATTTTTCCCCCTGACCGTATACATTGACGGTATACTTTCCTCGCCTGCTCACAGGAGCCATATTGAATTTTTGATTCTGCTGCGGTAAAGATCACATGATCCAAAACGTTAGATGTTGAAGCTAGCTTAAAAAGATTTTATTAATTTACTCTCGATTATTCCAATTTAGAATCGTTTCAGATTCAAAAAAAAGATCGCAAAAAAACAAACAACCATGACAGCAACCCCGTTTTCCCCTCTTGATTTAATAAACTTTTTTGAAGACCAAGCATTACGGAAAATCAACCGGGGATTTTCTGTTGCATTGAATCTATGGCTTCGGGAAAAACTTTACGGGATAGCCAATTCTAAGAATGAATCAAAGTCTTAGTGTTTTCTTGGAAACGCAGTAAATGGTTTCTTATGGCAACATTAACATGTTTCTTAGAATTATGCAAAAAGACAAAACTTGACGTAAGGATAATTTTGAAGAGTCCTTCTTACAAAAAAGTTCCATTTTAAGATCTCTTTTTGGCGGTGTTGTT